TTCATCAGATACAAACAGAAAAAAACCTGTCTGCATACACAGCTGCCCCAAAAGCTTGCATATGGCCGTTAGCTTATTTACTCAAACCCCCCACACATCTCTGGTCAGCTATTAGCGCTAATGTGCTAGTGCGTTAGAGGAGGCCGCGTACATACACTAGAGTCTTTCGATAAATAAAACCCCACCCAAACTGAATATCCAACGAGCACTTTTCCTCTAGAGTCTAGACGGAAAACAGAGATATGAGGCTTTGTTTACTTTGCTGAGATCCTCTTTCGCGTCGGCGAGGATGCCGTAGTTACGGTACAGCTCCTCCACTGTCGCCGCCATCAGCGTGTCCGACTTCACCAGGGGGTTTCAATGAATAACGGCGGTTTTGCTGCTCCTCCCGCTGTATCCGCTCGAAATGTCTTCAAACGCGTCACCGTATTACAGCACAGATGTAATGTGGGCTGCAGTGGGATGTTATTTTGGAAGCGATCGTTGTTCTCGCGTGCAGTCCGCCAGCTTTGGGTTGTTGCTCTGTGCGGCGGCGGGATGAACGGCTTCTTCGGCGCTTTTGGGAGATGATTGACAGCGTTATTTGCTAAGAGCGCCATCTGCTGGATTGAGTGTCTAACGGGAAATCATTGGAGGAAAGGAAATGAAAAGAAATTGTCACTATTAACCATCACATTGCGGCCTTTAGCCCCATTGTACTTATTGATTAACTTTACACTGTTATTGATCTGAACAGAACCAACACAGAACTGACTTGAGCTAAATAATGGCACTATTGTCTAAAATAAAGTGCTAGAAAAAGGTGACTTGACATTCAGAGAACCATGGGGCTAAATCTAAAAAAAAGTAACTATTTTAGTGTCAAATCTGATTAATAAATTTAAAATAAACAAATAAATAAATACAAAAACTGAAAGCTAACGGTCACTACTGGTTTTTCAAATTGGGGTTAAATTGATCCTAAAACAATATATATATACACACACACACACACACATACATACACACACATAGGAATGGCCTGTTTTATTTTATTGATTAAAACAAATAATAATAATAATAATAATGATAGACAAAATGCAATAAAAGAATGACAAAATTTACAGTCATATTCATTGTAGTATTACTTGAATATTTTGCAAAACTGAGCCGGCCCAAGCGAACTAAGCGGCTGCTTAGGGCCCCGTGGCCACCAGGGGCCCCCCAAGAGTACATGAAATGGCTTGATTTTTTTCGGAGTATCTATTTACACTAAACGTGCAAATAGCCCGCCATGTTGGCAGAGACTATTCACATTAACTCCGCCCACCAACGTGTGATTCGGATAGTGAACAATACAAGAGACAGTCGATAATCAATAGTAGTCAGCTCCAGTAGCGCAGATGTTAAAACGTGTGACTTTCTCATTTTAACGCGATCAACCCGGGTTCGAAGCCTCCTTTTGGCGAGCTTTTTTCTCCCTTTTCAGATTTCAAATCACATCAGAAAAGCATTTATTTTCAATGAAAATGAAGGAAATAATCAAAAAGTTGAAAATAAAGTATCGGGTAGGGTTAGGGTAGGTGTAGGAGGTGGCATCCATTTAATAATTTAAATTAAAATTTACACTCAATACGTTATTATTGCATACTGTTTTATAATGTACTATAATACTGAGGTGCAGATAATTGCCGCTGTTTGCAATAATAAATAGCAGAAAATCCTATAAATAGAATTTTAGATTAAAGTGTTTGTCTTCTGTGTAAAAATAACTTTGTAGGGAGGGCTTTATTGTCCCAATAAGGTGGCATCCATTTAATAATTTAAATTAAAATTTACACTCAATACGTTATTATTGCATACTGTTTTATAATGTACTATAATACTGAGGTGCAGATAATTGCCGCTGTTTGCAATAATAAATAGCAGAAAATCCTATAAATAGAATTTTAGATTAAAGTGTTTGTCTTCTGTGTAAAAATAACTTTCCTGGGTATATATTTTTTGTAATAAATCAATTCTGTTTCATAAACTTGGTACTAATAACAGCTTAACATTATTTACCTTTGCCTACCTTTGGGGTCTTTGCTAGTATATTCCAATATCATTATGCCTGAATTAATTAGTTATAGATTAAGAGTTGTTGTTTTTTATGTACAGATGGCTTGCTGCTGTGTATAATAATTTATGTTGTTAAAATAACATTCTTTTCTGTAAATGCATGGTCTGCTGGTTTATTTAGCTACTGTTCAGTACACCACTTTATATACCACATAGTACTGTAAGACTGAATGTTAAAGTGCAAATTAACACCTGACCACTCTTGTGGGTTTGCTACTGTTACAATTAAAAATCACAGAAAGGTAAAAACATTGGTATGATGTAAGCAACACAGCTAAAATAAATAAAACTGATAATGGGTGAGTTAGATTTATAGTGTGCGAATAATCAAGCATTGACAAGAATCAGTCGTATTGGCGACACCGAGGGGGGCCCCCAAATAAAATTCTGCTTAGGGCCCCATAAAGGCTTGGTCCCCAGGTTACGTAAAGCATATCTACAGAGACCCAAGTCACTGGGAGGTCTGGCATTACCTAATCTGAGGTTCTATTATTGGGCCACCAATATTAGAGCCTTAAAATGTTGGCTTTATTATAAGAATTTAGAGTCTCTTCCCCCATGGCTTATGATGGAAGCAAATTCCGCAAAACCCAGCTCACTGAATGCTTTAGTACATTCTCCCATTCTATCTTCTACCTCACCCTTTGCTAAGAATTTGATAGTAAAGATCACTCTTAAGATTTGGGCTCAGTTTAAGCGCTTCTTTGGATTACAGTCATTCTCAATCTATGCTCCGATAGCCAGTAATCATGTTTTTTCTCCCTCTCTGTTGGACAGTGGCTTTTTATCTTGGTCTAGTTGTGGCGTTAACTCGTTCCATGATTTATATATTGATGGCACTTTTGCTTCTTTTCAACAGCTTAGAGAGAAATTTTCACTTCCAAAGCAGCATTTTTTCAGATACTTACAAATTCGTAGTTTTGCTCGTGCCACATTTTCAAATTTTCCTCTCCTGCCTAATGATACTCCTTTGAATAGTTTTTTCATTCCGATTTGTACTTTAAAAGGCCTATGTCCTGAGTCTTTAGACTTCATTAGGGCTCTTTGGCAAGATGATGTGGAAGAGGAGATATCAGATTAACTATGGGAAAAGATCCTCAACAGGGTACACGGATCATCTATATGTGCCAGACATTCACTTATTCAGTGTAAAGTTGTGCATCGTGTCTATTTTACAAAAGCTAGATTGGCTAGGATTTATGAAGGTGTTTCTCCAGCATGTGACAAATGTTGTCAAATTCCGGCAAACCTCATCCATATGTTTTGGCTTTGCCCTTCATTGTATAATTATTGGACAAACATTTTTGAAACTTTATCATTTATTACAGGGGAAAGAATTGAACCGAATGCTCTCACTGCTTTGTTTGGAATTTGCCCCTCTGTACCATCCTTGTCAGTTCTTAAACAGGATGCAGTTGCCTTTGTTACTCTGTTGGCTAGAAGACTAATATTGCTGAACTGGAAATCTAAAACGCCCCCTTCACATTCTCCTTGGTTATCAGATGTTCTTTACTTTATTAAATTAGAAAAGATACGATTGTCCCTCAAGAAATGCTCAAATAAGTTTGGAAAGCTGTGGGGCCCCCTCTTTCAGTATATTAAAGAGAATGGTTCTTTACTCAGTCCTGATAGTTGATGGGAAAGGAGTAAGGCTTGATTTCTGAAGGTTGTTTTACAAATCTCATAAACAGCTTGAATAACGGATTAATATTTATTTATATATGTATATTTAATTATTATTATTATTTCTTATTATTCTGACTGTGCATTGTTTGTTCATGTTTTTTTTTGTAGTTGCTTTCTACCTTATTTTATTAGTATTGACACACATTGTTTATCATTGCTTTCTGTTTCTGTATACACTCTTTTCTGTGTAGAAAATTAATAAAAAAAGAAAAAAAAAGAAATTCAGCTTATCATCAATCACAATATACACATTATAATATATACATACATACTCATTACATTACTCTACTCTCTAACTCTAAAATCAGAAATGTATGAAACAGAAACTAATTTTTATTGACTATGAGTTGCAATCAAGTAAAACGTCCAGAAGATGGCATCAAAGACCAGTACATTTTTTTCTTCTTACTTCCCATGTTATCGTGCCCTTCGGCTGCACAATTTTCCTATCTTCTTAATAGGAAAGCCTTACTGAACTTATCACCTCAAATAAGATTACAGTGAACTTCCTTCCAGTGGCAGTCAGAAGAGGAACTTACTAAAATCTGAAAAAAATAGTAGCTGATATTTACAGAAATATAATCTTTTCAACATCCTATTTTTTTTTCCATTAAGATTTTTTTTGTATTGTGACAATATTTTCATTTTATATTCATGACATTCATATTCAATTAGTTTAGCACATTTTCACTCCAAATTCTTATAGCTTCATTCAAAATTAAGTTGTAAAATATTCACATTCCAAATACAACCAAGCTAAATTAATAAAATAAAATACAAAAAAGCAAACAAAACATTGTCTTTGATAAACACATAACCATCTGCTCTTACCTTCACCAAGGTGAAAAGTCCTTGATTAGTACACTCGAAATAAAGCTCTTTGGAAGCTCACATGCTGAAACACTGCCACAAAGGTTTTCTGCGGTTATGTTGATTTTGAAAACAGCATCTAAAGCTCCTTAACAGCTAATCTGCTAAAGGAACTCTAAACTGTTTGCCAGAGACACAAAGAAATGTTCACGTGAACCTTTAAAGACATCTACTCAAACCTTAGATGTACAGTCCTGTGTTATACAGCAAAAATGAACAATCAAATGCCAAAATGATTTCAAAACCACTTTCTTCATAAAATTTATTACTACAAAAATATACATTATTTTACACACACACACACACACACACAGAATTAATTTTCTTTTTAAATTATTTTAAATGTATTTTTTAAATATTAAAATTCCAACAAAATATTAATAAAAAGACTAAAAATCATATTTTTCTTCACGTCAGCATGTTTAGTTTCCACTACAAAGAAATGAAATGGTAAGATCGCTTAAGAAAGAGAAGGTAAAGACATTAATTGTAAGGCAGTGAAGTTAGTTTGTGATCAAATGCGTCTCAGTATGGTTTCTGCTGTACCTTTGTAAACCGTTAGCTCACCAGCATATTTTCACACCATTTTACCACCTCCAAGACAGAAAGTGCGACTTTTTGCATGCTTTACAAAAAAAGGGCTGAAGTAAAAGCTTCTTCAACCACCCTCCCCTCTCCAAGCTCTTAAAAACAGGCTAAACTGACAGGCCAAACAGTATTTAGCACACAAAACAGCTCACATTTCCACAGCAGTAGAGTTCATACTGTATTAAGCGAACATGTTCTAGCTTGTCTCAGTTATCGTAACTTTACAAGATCTCAGTGGGTGTTTTGAGAGTGTGAGAGAGGAGCTTCCTAACTAGTTAGGCCACACTTAATCTCTGCAGTGCTTTGCCCTCGAAGGATTTCCACGCCACCTGGCTTGGAGTCAAAAAAGGCCGGTTCACTGCAGAAAGTCTTAGGTGTCCTTTTGCTCTCTGTCTTGGTCATCCTGGCTGCCCCACTGACCTCCACTTTTTTTGAACACGTCCTGTTTTTCATGGACAGGAGCTGGATGTCCGAATGCACATTGGCGACTGTGTGGCGTCGGACACCACCAGTCCTTTCCAAATAGGCTTCACCCTCGTGTTCGATTAGAGGTGCCAGGAAAGACTCGTGGGCAAAATGTGTCACCATAATCTCAGGTTGACTGAGGTGTGGAGCGTTAACCAATCTCAAGCCTTCCAGACGATCCTCTGCGGGGGAAGCGATTATGATGCTGGTTAGATTTAATGCTGACTACAACACGCATAAGTTAGACAAGGGTCAATGACATATGAATATCTGTTGGTTTCACATGGGTTTGATAAACCTTTAAACATGAAAAAAGTGTTTCTTGAAAATAGTTTATTGACTCTAAAAATGTCATGTTGTGTAATCATCAATAAAACTAATTTTTCATAATTTATTTAAAAGTTTTAAAATACATTTTTCAAAGTACACAGCAGTTTTTACAAAAATCACAAATGATTAATTCATAAATATCATTAGGTTTTTGGAGAGTTGCACCACATGACATTTAAAAACATTAACTTTGCCTTGTCATAAAAAGGTCAAATTATCTGCCATTTAAATAGACTTATTGATCTTCATGCTTTTTCTGCATTTTGGTTATAACATATGACTTTATTTTTTATCATATGACTTTTATTTTTATTTTTAAATTATTAATAATATATCTTTCAAGGTACAAAGACATATTTTCAAATATTATGAATTATAAAGTTTATGGGGAGTTGCACCACATGACACTTTACAACATTAACTAACTTTGCCATAAAATGGTAAAATTATCTGATATTTTAAATCACTTCTTGATGTTAAGACTTTAACATTTTTTCTACATGTTGGTTAGACCATATGACTAATTTGGTGGAGAAACGTTTTTTTTATTATTAATAATTAATCATATTAATCTATTTTCAAGAGGCAAATACATTTTTCAAATATTAAAAATGATTAATTAATAAATATCATTGCATTTTTTTGTTATAAAAAGGTAAAATTATCTGATATTATTGCTCAACACTTTTTTCTTCATGTTGGTTACACCATATGATTTTAATTTGGTGGACAAAATTACTAATAAATAACATTAATTATAGTAAAGCTGTTTTGCTCTTTTCTATTCTGTTCTATTAAATAATATTAAAAGGTTAAGCCAAGCTACTAAATAAATCATTCTTTTAATGAGGCTTTTTTTCTTCATATTTATTTTCTTTACAATATTTGGGCAGTTATACTAACCTGGCAGATAGTCCCCCCTTAAAAAATATCAAAATAAATTTTAATTCAGGAATTTAAAACATTTTAATCACAGAGGTGTATTCAAGTTATTGTATGTATGAATTGAATTGTTAATGCATTCTTTAATATATTAATTGACCCAGACAAAGAAAGAGAATCATGTCAAGCTACTAAATAAATCATTCTTTTAATGAGGCTTTTTTTCTTCATGATATTTATTTTCTTTACAATATTTGGGCAGTTATACTAACCTGGCAGATAGTCCCACCTTAAAAAATATCAAAATAAATTTTAATTCAGGAATTTAAAACATTTTAATCACAGAGGTGTATTCAAGTTATTGTATGTATGAATTGAATTGTTAATGCATTCTTTAATATATTAATTGACCCAGACAAAGAAAGAGAATCATGTCATTGACCCACAAACCAAAAACAAGAAAAAGCTTAAAATTATTTACCACCTGAAGAGGAATCGCTAGGGTTCATGTTGAGGTAGTTACTCAGGTAGGGAGATATAACCATGTCCACTAGCCTCTCGAGTAGGAAATACTCCTGCGTAGGACCATTAGGCTCATGAATGCCCTGCCCAACAAAAATAAAGAACATCATGAAAATAAAGATTCAAAACAAAGAGGTGGCATTCACTGCTGGTAGATGAATAGTTAAATATCTGGGTTCAATCCCAAAACAGCTGACAAGTGGGAGTAAATGAGGAACGGATGACGCATCAGTGTGCTTCATCACCATTATGCCCTAAAGCATGACACTGTATCCCTGTGGTACTCAGCCTTGTTCTGGAACAAAGCTGACAAATTTCTTTTGTATGGAGAAGCCATATTTGAAAAATGAATGCTGGGTCAAGGTGCTTGGTTTCATGGAGGCTCTTCAAATCTCATCTGAGATTACAGCAGCACAAAGCAGATCTGTATATATGTTCCCACACCAGCACTCAGGGAATGCTCTCCTAATGTTCATTTATCTTCATATTCTCACCTGTGCGTTAAAGGGGTCATATGATGCGATTTCAAGTTTTCCCTTCTCTTTTGAGTGTTACAACTATTCGTGCATCGATAAGATCCCTAAAGTTGCAAAAACTAAAGTCTCAAACCCAAAGAGACATTCTTTATAAAAGTTAAGACTGGTCCATGCCCTCCTAAAACGCCTCGTTTAAACACGCCCCCACATGTCTACGTCACGATGTGGGAAGATTTGCATAACACCGCCCAAATGTTCACGCAA